TCTGCTTTATGCATTTTGCTCCCTCCTTCACTCTTCTATGCCTCCTGGAATAAAATTAAGCTCCTGTGGACATTTATCTTACACATCAAGTCTACTTCTATACTGCTCGCGCTAAGAGAGAAAAGTAGTAAGCCGGAGCAGCAATCAGCAAGATACACTGTCACAGTGGGAACCTGGACCTGTGTTTTCTACTAGCTTTCTCTGAATCTTCCTGAAAAGATTTCCATCTTTTGCTTATGTGTGCTAATATACATTCATCGAGGGAAAATTTTTCTAGACCTTTTTTTTTCTCTTTTGCAAGACATTTAATAGAGGAGATTCAATCCTGATTTAATGTAAAAGCATATTTTCATAGCGTGCATAGACTTACCTGATACATAAGTGTTTCTCTGCTGCCTTCTGATTGATTCAATAACCTTCGGGATAGCTCCAACTCCTGTTCAAGCTAGAGGATAAAGAAAAACCTTTAAACATCCAATGGGGCAGAAGATAATTAATTTATCATAGGCAAAGTTTAACAGGAAAAAAGTGGAAAAGTTTCCAGGAGCTACTTAAAGCTGATATGCAAGGATAAATATCTTGCTATAAATACCTATCAATACTTCCATTAAAATAATGTGAATTGCATAATATAAAATGAACTAGACGAGACCTCAGGATCCTGATTAAGACTCTTCTCCTCATGCCTCTATTCTGTCACCTCTAAAATAAGAATGTTGAATTTGACAATCTCTAAGGTCCCTTCCGGAGCCTTGTAGTACAGTGGTTAAAAGCTCGGCTGCTAACCAAAAGGTCAGCTGTTCGAATGCACCAGCCGTTCCTTGGAAACCCTATAGGGCAGTTTACTCTGCCCTATAGGGTCGCTATGAGTCGGAATAGATTCAACAGCAATGGGTTTTTGGTTGTTTTAAGGTCCGTTCCAAGAAGCCCCTGTCGTGCAATGGTCAAGCGTTTGGCTGCTAACCGACAGGTCAGTAGTTCAAACCTACCAGCTGCTCCATGGGAGAAAGACGTGGCAGTCTGCTTCCATAAAGATTACAGCTTTGGAAGTCCTATGGGGCAATTCTACTCTGTCCTATAGGGTTGCTATGCATCGGAATCAACTCCATGGTAACAGGTTTGGTTATTTTGGTTATAAGGTCCGTCCAGCAATAAAACATTTTAATCTAAATTCTAAATAATTTTTTCTTTAAATTATCACATATGCTGTCAAATGAACTGTGTTAGGATAAACACTGCAAGGACTTAATAACTCAAAGTGTATTTCTTTTAACTGGTGACCTCTTACATTGCTAATATTTCATTTCAATGGAAATTTTAAAATATCAGAATAAGACATTGAAAATTTTCTTAATAATATTGCAACTAGATACATATCCATGAAAGAGAGGCCAGTTAGGTAACTAAATAATCTACAAAG